CCCCCCCCCCCCCCCCGCCAAGATTTAACGTTTTCCCCATTACGGTCAACCTACCTGTCCCTCTTTCGCGTGCAGGAAAAAGAGCTTGAGGTTGGCGAGTGGCCTACGGTGTCTCTCGACGAGCCAGTCGCGCAAGCGCCCGCCCCCACGCCCATTGCTGCCCCAGCCCCCGCCCCCGCCCCGGCCTCTGTGCCCGTGGCCCAAGCCCCTGCTGCTGCCGGCGGGGGAGCGGGAGCGGCGGCGGCGGCGCAAGTGCAAGCGGCGGCGAAATTCCAGAGCGTGGTCCTGACGGACAAGTGAGCTATTTTGCTTGCTTCGGTAGTGTTGGCGCTGGTGCTGGTGCAGTAGGTGCAGTAGGGGCCCCTGTTAACTGCCGGTGTATGTGCCCAGAAACGTCACCGGCGGCGCTATGCAAACATTGAGAAATGACTTGGAAATTCAGTGTGTGCCCGCCGAAAACTCCGGCACCATTCAACCGGCACTAAACAGGGACCTCTCTACTGGAGTTTAAGGCACCGTCTGGTGTAGGTGTTTGTTTATATTGTTAATAGTATGGGTGAAACAGTGTAGGTGTTTTGTTTATATTGTTAATAGTATGGGTGAAACAGTGTGTGGTGCTGTTGCGAGGTTCGCTCGAGCTCTGGGAGCGCATGCTAGCCGTACAGCAGTAGCAGACAGGTCGCTGGTTTCTTTGACAGTGCTGAATATCTTAGTTGTCTTCTATCTTCTATCTTCCGTTTTCTGAGGCGAGGTGCATGTGCATACATGTATGGTGCGAATGGATCGCTTCGAAGGCTACTTGTACACTTTGGGCGATTGACAGAGAGGAGTTTTGGCGACCCCGAACCAAACCAATACTAGTAAATGACTAGATTCGATTGAGGTAAAACAGATTTTTCCCATGGAAAATATTGTTGCGGAAAATGGCGAAGAGGACCAGCATGTTGGATAGACGTGTCTCTGTTTGGAGCTGGAACTACACTGTCGGTGCTCTGTCTAGCAAGAGATGCGTGGTGAATGGCCACACGGTAACGGAAGGAGGGCAACAACGACTGGATATGCCCCCCCCCAATAACTTCCGGCTTTGTAGGGATGCGAAGTCAATGGTCTAACACCTACAGCATGCACGGCTATGAGTACCCCCCCCGAAAAACCCATGTTCTTCGGAAAGAAGTCTGACCCCCCCCCCGCCTACGAAACATCCGTTTTCTGCAGAGAAAAGACTGATCCTTTCGGGGTGGAGAACCTGGACAGCAACAACGTGCTCGAAGCTGAGATCGAAGCTATCGCTCCGAAGGCGGCCACGGGCGACCTGGCGTCCGTCATGCGCAAGGGGGCGCTCGAGACCAAGCTGCTGGTGAGGGGAGGGGGTGGCATGCCGTGGTCGTTAGACCATTGACCTCGGGCAAAGTTGCTGGTGGGAGCGGGGGGGGGCGGTGAACGATATACAACGCAACGCACAACAATATGCAACACTCTCTCGCTGTTTTACACCGCGGGTGTCCCGCAATTTGTCTTTCTTTCGTGGTTGTTGCTGTGTTTGACCCCCGGCTGGTCGGCCCAAGCAAGGAAAGTTTACGCCGCATGTGTGCGATTGATAAGTTTACATTGCTTTTTACTACGACTGTCCTCTGTGCGTGCGATCTCCGTAGATGCTGGTGTCCGCGGTGCAGTCTGGCGAGCTGGACCTTCCGGCCTACTGCAACATCTTGAAGGAGAGGGTCGTCAGAGACAAGGTAAGAGAAACATCACTACTCTCGCGGCACAACCATGCGGAACGTCCGTGAAAATCAAGTGTGTGTCGTGACGCCGTTAGATATACGGCAAGAGAGGAACTTGGAAAGTGACTCCCGTAGTCATCGTCCACAGCCACCGGATCCATGCCCTGTTTTTGAAGCGAACCAAGCTGGTTTTGAAACGAACCAAGCGAACCACCTACATCCCAGCCCCCATGCGCCACATTCTCCCTACTTGAATTCATTCGCCGCAAGAGCTGCTGCTGTTCAAACCGCCTCGGAGTAGATATTAGGAGTATCGCAGTATCTCTCCTCTCGTACGGAACCAATGAGTCTCTCGCTCCATCAACCACACTTCCCTGTCCCCGCCCCGGCGTTACATGGGATGCATGAGGCAGGCAGGGGTCTCAATATCACGGGGGTGTACTTGGTAAACATCAACCCGCCCCCGACCTCCCTCCCCTTTGACGCTAAGGCATGCAAAACAGGAGTACGGCCCCCCTGCCTCGCTCCAATTATGTTTCGGGTCGTTTTTTTCGTGCTAGTCGGTGTTTTTCACGTGCAATATCGCATTGTATAAAAACTACCGCCGTTTTGTTTTGAGCTGATCGTCCTTCATGCATCACCCCCCCCCCCCCGCTCTTGACGCATAAGTGGCTTGCATGGTAGCATGGCCAATACTCGAATACGGCAAATAGCCCGCCACACGTGTACGGACCGACGCCCAGCCCACACCCAACTCACGTTATTCCCGTCAGGTTTTGGCGATGTACCTGAAGGATGAAAAGCGCACCAAGGAGGCGGTGGCAGTCATGAAGCGCATACGGGCCATGGAGGAAGAACTCGCTGGTGTGCCTCAAGAGGAAGAGGAGGATGTAGAAGCGTAACCCCCCCACCTTCCCCTCCCTACCCCTAGAACCAAAGGTTTATTTCAGTATGGACGTACTGTAGATGACTCCCCCTGTTGGTGTTCTTCCTGATTTCAATGATATTGGGATCAGTTGTTGGTGTAGAGGAGAGAGCTTAAATAGCTGTCCCTTTCCGCGCTTGCTTCCCTGTAGCGTGCAGATCGAGAGACCTCGGATTGCAGCCTCTTCCTGCCTGGTTTTGTTTTTGTTCGTTGTACGCTTTTGAACCAAACCCGTCCCATCCCTGGTGCGAGTTGACCACTTGACGAGCCTTGACACCATTGTTTCGTCAAAGCCGGGGTATAATAGTTACCGTCGATACGTATCTTTGGCAGCGTTGGAGACATGTATCTTCTTGTCGAGAGCTTTCCAGAATTCGCTTGTTCCGGCCGTGTAACCGTAGTCGTAGTCGTTCCTGTAATGCCGTACGGAATTATGAAACCGTCGAATTTCTTTTCAGCAAGGCGGGTGTGTGGCATCACGCACGATGCACACCCTTCCCTGTGTTGTTTAAGTTCCGATGGCGTTGATCTGTTGCACTCCTACTCCTTTCAAGTTGATCTTGCTTTGTTTTCTGTGGGATCGTCGGGAGGGAGGGAGCCCGGATTTTAGTTCTGCGTTTTTGTCGAGCCACTCCCGTGTTCGACCAGCGGGCGGTAGAAAGTGTTGGCTGGGGGAACCAGTTGTGCATGGCTTTCTCCATCGGAGTGAGCCATCCTCACGAGACCCCTTCCTTTGCATTTTTCTAACACCAAAGCGATGTATAGTATTAGTCTAAACTAGGCCAGGAGTTGGGTGTAATTGGTCAGAGGACATCGGTGCCCCTCACCAAAGCCGAATGCTTTAACTAGGCAACGAGACTTGCCCATAGAAATCAAGCATATTTACTTCGTACTAATTTTTTTGGAACCCGCGTGGGTCCTGCAAGGGCGATCCACCAATGATGTAATGATCTGATGCGAGCGTGAAAAGCTGTTCCCCTCTGCTGTACAATATGTGGATGCGTTCCACGAGGACGAGGCGAGGGGGGTCGGGTTGAAGACCCCTGTTGGCAAGATAATGCCGACGACGAACCAGAAGCGGGCCATCATTCTTGCGTTGTCGGTTGTCTCGTTATTGCTGTACTCGCTACATGGAGATAATGAGCTGTGTTTTGATTGGGTCTTGACTTGTTGTAGAAAACCAAACAGCGTTTCGTGTTGGCAAGGTGGCGCGTGTTTTGTACTGGGGCGGCACGTTTTTCGTGCGCGACATGAAAAAAAAAACAGTATTGTACCAAAAACAGAAACACCCAGCTGTCGGTCTCACGGGGATGGGCTTTCCTTCCGAATTGTTCACCTTTTTTTGCCCTGTGCGTGGGCTCGGAAATTCCTGCGCGGCGACTTACGAGAAGGAGAGGCACCACGCGACGCACGAACACGATTGCATGAGGCTCCAAGCCGCAGCAATCTGTGTGTTTTTTTTTATTATTTGCATCGACCGCGCTATTCGGCTGACCAATGAAAAGACGTCAGTCTTCGTGCGGTTGAGAACACGAAACACTTTTAAAGGCCATTATCTGGGACCCCGTGAGGGGGCGGCATGGGGGAGATTAATCTATTCTCCGGATCAAAGATAGAAAAGTGTGTGTGAGAGAGAGATAGAGAGAGGTGCTTCTCTACGTGGCAAACAGCACACCGAAAAGGGGACCCCCCACCTTCCTCCAAAGTCGCAATCCAGTAAGCATGTAGTAATAGTGTTTTTTCGTTTCACCCTTGCGTCATTCACTTGGCATGGTCTGCAAGGTGTGCCACACGTCGTGTCGGATTGGGATGAGATTGGAGTCCTACAAACAGCCACACAGCCTTACGGATAAAAAACACGGCTTTCTACACCAATAACAACAACGAAACAAACAAAATTGTCCACTGCACCAGGGAGGTTGAGGCCACTGATGGTGTCATCAACACTGCAACTGGAAACGACAATCATGAGCGCGTAAACTATACACCAAGTACTACCGAACACCCAGATCCACTACAACTCTAATTGCCCCCCATACTCGCTGCTTGCGATCACAATCCACATCAACCTCGACACGCCAACACCGCGCTTGCGTCGAAACTTTGTTTCCTTCTACACAAACCTGCCGCCTGCTGTTGATCGTGGCACAATCCTGAGGCGTATGAAAGCCACGGCGCCCCCCCCCCAAAAAAAAAAAAAAAAAACATCAGACAAACCGTAACGACGGTGTTCGTCTTCGATTCACGGTTTTGCATGTTTCTCAGGCCAACTGTTCTTTCCGCACCTATGCCTGCACACACACCCGACGCCGTCACGCAAGATCTAGCAAGGCGATTGCTTTCTTGTGCAACAGCAAACATGAGGAGGCTGTCCAGAAGCAGCTCGTCATCCGTGGGATTGAACCCAGCTTTACGCTAAAAAATCGTAGCCGACCGTATGCCTTGATCTTGCCAACGGTGACAAAAAATCTCCGAACGATCCGATCCGGCTCGAAAGCGTTGCCGACCCCGACGTGACCCGCTACATTGTTCTTGCTCGTCTACGCTGCTGCCTTCTTTCTTCGGAACGGGCAGAGAAATTCGCGGAACGTTCCAGACCGAAAGGGGCACAGACTCCGAAATTATGGCTACCCCGCCACCTTCTGTTTCTTGGCCGCCGCCGCTTCCTCCTTCGGAACGGGCGCCGAGTTCGCGGAACGTTCCAGGGCGACGAGCAGGTTCACCGGCGCCTTGGCGCATAGCTTGTTGACTATCTTGGCCCCGATCCTCGAGTCCGCTATGCCGCCGGGGTTGATGTGGGTCACCGAGATGAAGTCGGTCTTGCTGGGGTCCTCGCGGTTGGGCCGCATGATGTTGGTCGCTATGAGGATCTCGGCTCGAACGTACTTCTTCCCGCGCCTGTAAATGTTTTCGGTGACGTCATTGTTGCTGTGATGTATCGTCGCGAAATAACGCATGCATGTGCATATGGCTATTTGCGAAGAAGCTGTAGGGTTCACGGCGAAGAAAGCGCCACTACCTCAGCATGGGTGGCATAGAAACCTCTACGCTTCATTGTCCGAAATATGGTTGTTGACTCTCGCAAAAAGAAAGAAAAAGGCGCACCAGCACAACATGCACGTCTACCCCGCTGCCTGCCAGCCAGCCAGATGCAAAACTGACGCTTCTGCTTGAAGGCCAAATAACGCCCCCCCGCGCCGCGCGTAGCCAGAGGTCGTCCGCTACAAAACCGCCTCCTTTCTCATCCTTCTGACCACGCCCCCGGATTGACGTGTGCGTTGTCGACGTACGGCAAAAATACATTTTCCATTGGCCCACCTTGCCGCCGGGTGCTCGACGGGCCTGTTGAGCACCATCATCGTTCCGTCTTCCAGGGTGCGGTAGTGGACAGCGGTCACGAAGTCCCTGGCCTTAAACGGCCGGTACCTGGGCGTGCAGGCCCACGACACCTTGGTGTCGTCCGACAGCCTCTCGAGGTCTCGCACTTCCTTGCAGTTATCGTTGTACTCCTGTCCCCGCCGGGCGTCGTCGTATCAAAATCCAGACGAGCAACAATAGACGGAGCGAGGGAGAGAGGAGGCCCACAAAACAGAGAGAGATGTGGCAGCGGCGCAGAAAGATGAGCGCGATTGGCACAAGTCTAGCAGCAACGCGTAACGCCAGTCAGGAAACACGAGCACAAAAAAAGAGACAGCAGGACGATGTACGCCATCGATGGCAACATGGCAACGCGCGCGTGAATACACGTAAGGGTAACGCTTCCCCCCCCCCCCCCCGTGCTCCGACACCACGGCACCCCCTACTCACGTGCACGCGCTCGTTGTCGAGGAAGAGCTTGTACAGATCGCTGGCTCGAGCGTCGAGCGTCCCCATGGCCTTGACACAAGCAAACTTGGCGGCTGCTCCTTCGTCGACGATCCCTCTGCTGGAAGAGGAGGAGGATGATGGCGCCTGCGCAGGGAAACGGGGGGAGGCGTACTCTCATGTTTTGCGTACCCTAGCGGTTAGACGATTGACCACGCGTCCTCGAGGGGACGGAACGTTGTTTCCACAGGACCGATCACCGACGGCCAATCGTCTCTTCCTACTTTGCCAAAGCTGGCTCAAAATTGTTTCCCCTAACCATCTATCCTATCGACATCACTACTCACCTTTTCAACCCATTTCCTATGCCCCAGTACAGGGAAACGGGGGGAAGGGTGTATATGCAAGTGTGATGGGGGGAGGGGGGGGGCGGCGTACTTACGTTTTGCATGTCTTGGTTGCTAGACCATTGACCACGAGATGATGGAGCATTGAGGGGGGGGAGGTACCAATGACAAGCACGCAGGCGTAAAGTTATCTACCGTTCATGCCTTTCGTCCACAACCTACAATACCCCAAGAATGCAACAGCGAACTTTAAATAAGGGGCCCCGGGAGTAAGGTGTGTGGGGGGGTGCCCATGGAAAAACATTTGATACGTTTTACTTTCGACATTATTGTATGCCGTTCGACAAAAAAAATACTGCTGCGTGTTTCATCGCCATGGTTGTTCGAAGAGTAAGCTCCACCGACAGATAACTCACAACAATCTCACCGAACCGGCGGATTCATCACGTTGCCGGATATATTGCAACACAAATAATGCTTCTATCTACATCCATGCCTTGGGAGGGCGGTGTACTCATACAATCGTGCAAGCCGCAGTCGCTAGACCATTGACCTCGCATCCCTACATGCCTTGGGAGGGGGTGGGACGAACTTCCGGACGACGACGACGCCGGACTTTTCGGTGACACGTTCCCACCCGTCGGACTCGATGACGGCCAACACCGCCTCCACGCTCGCATCGTTCTCTGCCTGGAGCTGGGAGGCCAGGGGAGGGATGCGGGCATCGTTGATTGCGGGTGTTGTTGCTGCTTTCGGTGCCCTCTACCGTTGTCTCGGATCACCAAACCAGCACAGAGCAAACCCACCGCAGCTCGTGCCGCGGCTTATTGTGTAGCGTCGTGACCCGGAAATGTTGGTACCAAGCGTGTGGATAAGGTGATATAGATCGCAAAATCAATTGTCTGTGAGTTCTGATCTACACTATGTCACCAAGTCTCAGCCTGATGCGCCCAAAAAACAAAGGCGGCAAAATTAATTTCACCGTGGGGTCGTAAGCCATCATGTACAGTACGTAGTACGAAACCAAACTTTGCCAAGTGCCGTTGTGGCGATGCTGACAAACGAACGGAGGGGACGTTTCGGGGTACGTACTGCCACCCAGGCTAGTTGTTTGGCAAGCTTTCCCCGCCTACAGCTACAACACGATGTGCGCACTTGCGACAACAATTCCCACACGCACACCGGCTTGAAACGCACCGCCAACATTTCCGCGCTGATAACCTCCCCTTCTTCCTCCTTGACCCACTGCTTTCGCGCGCCGAAATTCCCGAAAGCCAAGGATTCCCTGCCCCTCCGGCCGAACCCTTGCCTCCTCCTCGGCACCCCTGCGTCATGTTTCTGCCTCCCTTCCACCTCGGCTACCAGCAGCCGCCGCGCGCGAGCTCTGAGCCCGTCGCCAACCCCCGCCAGCTTGGCGAAAGGGCTTCTTCTCTCCGTGGCCTCTCCGCCCATTATCCCTGGCTGCTGCGGATCCCCCCTCCCCGTCCCCCGCCTCCTTCGTTGAAACCGTTGTTGTTGTGATCGCCTCAGCGGCTCCTCCTCCTCCCCCTCTTCTTCTTGCTGCCGCGGTTGTGGTGAAGAGGTGTGCAGCGCATGCTGTCGGGCAACCTTCTCCTTCCCGACGGCGTGCTGAGTGTTCTCCTCCAGGAGGCCGCCGCCGCTGCTGGTGCTGGTGCTTTGAGAGGGGCAATGGGGGTTCCAAGGATGAAAGGCTTTTTGGTTCCAGGAAGACACGAAGGGTTTTGCCGCATCAGGATATATACTGTGCGGCGTCGCACTACGTTAGGGCCCAGGGGTGAAGAATGAGCACTGCGGCGCAAGTGGTGGAGACTCAACTCGAGAACGGCGCCGCGTGTCAACCAAACCCGAACCCAACCCTTAACCTTTGACACGAAGGTGCCAACGTTAACCTTAACACGAAGGAGGGTTGGGCATGTCACATGACAATAATCAACATGACAGTAGCCAACAGGACACATGGCAACGACCAACGCCAACACGAGCCAGCGTTTGGTGGTGGAAACAGCCAGCGAAAGTGCGTGGGGGAACCACATCGTGCAAGCAGTAATTTTTAGGCAAAGAATAAAGCTTCACACTTTACTAGTCTCGCGGTTGCCAGGAACTCTGCAGAGGAAGTTTTCTGTGAAATGCCGAACCGGAGCTCTTCCGTCAGAGGAAAACGGCACGGTACTCTCATAGATAAAACTCTTTGTTTTGTTTTTCAAACAACGAAAAAGAAGCGACGGTTTTTGACGAAGAAAATACCTTCAAGCGAGGAGTACTCCAATCCGAGGATCGATGTGACGTCATTGAGGTTGTCGGAAAAAATCACGCCGACAACGTTATTTGGATACACGTTGCTGGATACATGACCGCTTTGCATTTAATCGAACGGGCGACTACTGTGTAGCGTGAGTTCTCCGACACTGCTGCCACAGGCACAATTTCGGTACCGACCCTGCCATGGGTACACAAGAGACTCTTGGAACAAACGGTCTATTTTGCACCTGTTGTCACTGCTAGTTCGTACGGCTTCAAGTCAAGATCCACATCCCGGCAACACCTGTACGTACACCTTCATCTTGCGACGGACCAAGAAAAACACGAGCAGCTCGGAAGACCTTGTATTGGAACCAGTAGCGGCATGTGGTCGAAGCACTACAGCAGTGTAGTCAACAACAGCAGTCTTGCATCGCAAGTACATATAAGTACGTTGCTGTGTGAGTTGGCGCGCACCTGACTTGACTTGTGGGTTGTACATGTAGGAGAGCTGGAGCTACGGGGCCACCACCGCTTCTCCCGGCCGTGACAGAGGCCAAAAGAGCCGCCGCAAGCACAGGCAGAAGCGCCACGTGTTGCTGTAGCGGGGCCATGGCGGCGAGCAATGTGTGAGATGGTTGCACGGAGCAACACTGACCGTTCCAACAAGCGAGGTCCAAGTCGGATCGGGAGGCCCGTGTTTGCGATAAACGGCCGAAAGGGGGGGAGTAGCAAACTCGCTGCTGTGACAGCAGTGACTGCTGTGACTGCCGCACACATGCTTTCGTGTCTCTAGCAAGATCACAGCAGAGCCTGACACCACTTTGCATGCGGAAATGCGTGGTGGGAAGGAAGAGACACCATAGCAGGCCATCAGCTGCTAAAGCAATGCCTCCATTATGGGGTCGGCCCACAACAACCGGTGCAGTTCGAACCGCACAGCGGTGCAACGGCACGAGCACTCGCAGCAGCGGCAGGTTGCCCACCACCAACGCTAGCTGCAAGCACCAGATGAGCGCCAGCAGCCGCAGTTGCCGTACTGGCTACTTTGCAACCGACAGCAGCCGCTGCACGAGTCACAGCCGCGGCTTCAGCAGCAGAAGTCTGTTGGCGTTGATCATGCTCGGGACGGTAATTGCGCCGCATCCGCGTAGTTCAAACTGGGGCTTTGGTGTGGTGGGAGCTTCGGGTATTACTAGCGCACCTGACCTCGCAGCAGATCGGGGCGTGGAATCAACCCTTGGCGAGGAAGGTGGAGGAGAGGAATGGGCAAACCATGCCACCGGCGACTCATCCAGAATGGATGCTCCGGGCTTCACAACGGCAACAAAGGCGCTCACGTACCGAGCTCTCTCGGCAGTCCACCCGGACGGCCTCAATGGCCTCACCATCGAGAGCATCCGAGAGAGCTGCCCCTTCGCCCAGGAGCCCGACTCGCCCCAGGCCGACGACTTCTGGGACCATAGCCTCAGCAACGCGATCATCAGCCTGGGCCCCCCGGACGAGGCCTCCGGCATGAGCGCCAGGGACATCTACGACGTCCTCGACGGTGTCGGCACCATCCTAACCTGCTGCCCGGGCCTGCTGCTGGACCCGGCAGAAGCAGGCGCCTCCGCGGACAGCGACAGCAGCAGCAGCGGTAGCAGCAGCAGCGGTAGCAGCAGCAGCGGTAGCAGCAGCAGCGGTAGCAGCAGCAGCAGCGGTACTCGCCCGGCGCTTCGAACCTGCGGTCTGCTGGGCGTCAGCATCGAGGGTACCTCCGGCTTGGCCGCCGCCGCCGCCGCCGCCGAGGAAGAAGATCTAAACGGCAGCGAGCGGGGCAACGTTGGGTTCGAGCTCACGGTGATATTCTCCTCGGTTCTCAGGGCCGCGCGCCTGCCCTCCGTCGCTCTCGACGCGCTCCACGGAGCGGCAGGGCTCACGATGACGGACAGGCAGAGAGCGGCCTGGGAGACCGAGAGGGCTCTGGTGTGGCTGCAGCTGGGTAGGGTCGGGGAGGCCGTTGTCGGGCTCAAGAGCGCGCTTGGCTGGGACGCGGGGGACCTCCGGGTGCTGCAGCCGTTGGGCGCGGCTCTTGTGGCTCAGGGGTCCGTGGCGGAAGGTGGGTTGGGATTCTCGGCCCGGGTCGAAACAGATTGGGGAGGGGACTTTTCTTGTTGGTGTGGTCATCTTGCCTCGCCTACACCTGGAAGTAGCGTGTAGAAGGGAGAGAGCACTACATGGGCCGAAACACCGGCGAAGACTGTACCGTGAGGAGTCAAGACTTTGTCAAGAGACTCGTAGGCTTGTCCACAGCAGCTGGCTCGGTGGCCACCGTATAGAAGGAGTCAGGGCCAGTCTTAATACGGACAGGCAATGAACGGGGCCTCCTCTTGAACCGCTGTGATCCGATCCCTTTGCTGGACGTCGTTTACAACCGCATCATGCTGGTGTCGTGGTGTAAAGCAAACCAGCTACCTTCGCGTTCAAGCCCCCCCCCCCCAATACACCTTCCCGTCTTGGCAGGCTTTCGCTACCTGCGGGAGGCTGCCGAGCTGCAAAAGAGCAGGATCGCCACCGTATTCGAACAGATCGTCCGGAACCAGGGGTTGGATCCTTCAGTCTTGGAGACGAAGAATCGAAAGGTGTGTCGAAAGCGGTACAAACTAGCCAAGTCTTCCAGAGGGCTGTCTGTGGAGAGCCGCAGTGATCTCGAAACAGGATTTTACTTGTGGCCGTTCTCGTCAGGTTTAGGGGGATGCGGAAGTTCAAGGGGAGAGGAGAGGTTGTTTTTTCATCGACTGCTGTTTTGTGAAGCCTTTGGTGGTGGTCTGCATGTCGGATTCTGTCCGCCTTAGTCGCGACAGAAATTTCTAGTCTGACGCCCGACAATAGCTCATGTCAGTCAACCCCCCAGGTTGCGTGCTTCAGTGTTAGCGTTGCCACCTCAATGTTGACCCCGACCATGGGGTGCTTCATTTCGCATCTGACGATTTTGATTCCGATCCATGGCCTTGACCCCCGGTGTCGAGGTGCTTCATTTCGTATCTGGTGACTTTGACTCTGGCCCATGGCCTTGACCCCAAATGTCGAGGCGCTTCATGTCGCATCTGGTGATTTTGACTCCGGCCCATGGCCTTGACACCCATGTTCCTCTGTCCGTCGAAACGAACCAAGGAGGTGCTGGTGACCCAGCGGAACTGGATGGCGATGTTCCTGGGATGGGCTCTGCAAGGGAAGTGGAAGAAGCTCGGCGGTTCGGTGCACGTGCTCCGAAGGGTGGACAACTTCTTGAGGAGGCATTTTTCGGCAGACTCCGAGGTACGGCGGTACTGTAGCGGGTAGCGGCGGTGACAAATAGTCTATTATATGATGGTTTCTCAAGTTGGTGCGTCCGTCCTGTCGTGGTTCAGTACCTTTTGCTGGTGTTGGCACGCTGGGTGAAGTGTCAGCTCGCGCGTCATTCCGGGGTTGGCGTGCCGTTAGCGGTGCAAGGTTACGATGACACCCACGTTGTGGTCCCTCCGCCGTTCTCTCTCAGATTTCCTTCATGCTTGGTCGAGAGCTCTCTAAGCGCGGGTTCCAGAAGGAGTCTTGGCACTACCTCACCAGCGCGGCGGCACCGTGGAACAGACAGGTACATTGCGTACGGATACCTCCAGGGGGCGGCGGGGGGCGGGGGGGGGGGGCACGACGCCGTTGTGTTTTCTGCAAGCCCTTGAGTGCTACCAACTCATCCTTTGCCTGAGGTCGGCGGTTGAGGTGGATATATCGTCTGCAACCGTCACGGGTCGCGAGGATGCACCGACCACAGATGCCATTTTCTCGCCCGTCCGCGACTATCTCGGTCCGGTATCCACGGTGGTTTCGCAAGTTGTACGTTGAATGCCACGCCCCTTTCTTTCCAACAAGCACTTGGTCATGGTCATCCAACGACTCCCCCTCCGCGCGCTCGCCGATCTACGTTCATCTTCAAATCACGTACATGCATGTGCACGCAGATTTACCGGATCCGATCAGCCCTGTCAATCCCGACCGTGGCAAGCAGCGAGCAGGACCTCGCGCTAGCCATGGCAGCCCTGGAGGGTTGGTTAAGGCGCCAGGAGCCCCCTGTCGAAGACCCGCCGGAAACCGCTCGGCGTCACGGCCACCGCACCACCACCACCAGCAGCAGCAGTAACGGTGGTGGTGACTTCGAGACGCCCTTGTCGACCTGCTCGTTCGGGGCGTTAAACTATCCCGACGTCGCGTTCGACAGCCTCCCGCTGCTGGCGTTCGCGGACCACCGGTACCCGCGTCGAAATCGCGGCGGTTTCGAAGCCGTCGACGCCGATTATCGCCGCTCTCCTGCGGGCGGGGGCGGCGACAAGGACGAGGGTGTGCCGCCGCGGGGGGTCAGTGGCGAAGTCGACGGAGACGCCTGGAGAAAGCCGGGGTTGGCGGGCCGATCGGCATGGAAGGGGTTAGACGAGAACGGAGAGGACGACGCTGATAGGATGTCCCTCTACGGGCCGATCGGACGGCTGTTTGGGAGGCTCTGTCCCGACCTCGGGGCCTTCGTGGCTCCCTGGTTGGACCGATACGGCGGGGCCTCCAGCCTGGCTCCGGAGGCGGACGGGGGGCTCCGCGGAGAGGCGGACGGGAGGGTCAGGGTAGCTTTCGTGTCGTCGCGGTTCGGGAACCACGCCACGACCAAGGCACTAGCCGCGCTCATGCGTTTGCTTCCCCGGCAGCATTTTGAGGTGAGGAGGGGTAAGGGTGTGCAGCTCTCTGCGTTCGCGAGAGATGAAGGGCTGGCGACGACAAATGCGACTCAACGTGATGTATATCTACCGTTCGGCGTTTTTTGGGTGGCTTTTTCTGTTGAGCTGTCTGTAATAGTGTAACCTCGAGGGCTATTCTGCCTTTTTTCTTCTTTTCCCTCAGGATATTATTTCTATTTTGTGTGTTTTCTCTCTCCTGGAGGTATGATTCTGGATGAAACCGCTACTGTTGTACACCTTGAAAACCTCGCACTTAACTGCTGTACGAAAGGTGATTCTGGGGTCATGGCCGACGCCTTCCGACGACTGGACCGAGGAGCACGTGCTCGGGAGCACCGAGAGCCGTTCCGCCAACCTCGTGTTCAACCGCACCGCCTCCCTCCAGAAGCTGGCACATAGGCGGCCGGATGTGGTGGTCTTTGCCGACGCGCCTTTCGACGCAAAGACCTACTTCTTGGCGTTCGGGAGGGTGGCACCCGTCCAGGCAAGAGGTTAATATTCGTTTGTATGACGGCGATCGATGATGCGTGCGGAGGCGCGTGTTGCATCCTTTGTGTTTTTAGGCTTGAACTGGACCTCTGCTTTGGACTCGACGACCTTAACTCTGCGTGACTGCTGCTAATCTGGTAATTCGCCCCGCTTTCCGCCTTTAAAGGCACAACCCCAGCCCATCGCACGTCCTCTATAGTACCCATTCCTTGTTGTCGCGACATACGCTATCCTGTACGCAACTCTCCAATTTCATGTCGAGCAAGCTCAAGACGTACCGCAAGCCGACCGCCTAAAAATGTAAAACAAAGAGGGGGGGGGGGGGGGGGGGGCGCAACCGCAACCGCAACCGCTACAATTGTTCCGCCCTCTCATCGACGCCCTCCACGCCACCTCCGTCGCTGCTCCTCGTGTGTATACCACTACCGTTCGCTCAGATCGCCCTTTGGGGCCACGCTCCGACGCTCGGCATCGGCTCGATCGACTACTACGTTGTCCCCGAACCCCTTGTCGCGGACGCCTGGCTGGGAGACGACGAACTCCAGAAGGCGAGAGACTCGACATGCGAGGGGGAAGCAATCGACGACGAAGAGGAGGACGATTTCCTCTTCTGGGAACGTCCGGCCGGGCCTGATGGCAGTGGAAGCGACGGCGGCATGAAGCACCGGGGGGTGCGCCACGGGAGTGACGCTACCGCCAGTGACGGAGGGGGTGGAGGGGGTGTTAGCGGTAGGCACAGGAATGACGCCTGGCAAGGTCGGAGAGACCCGCCGAGGAGCTTCGTGTTTCCGGAACCCCCGACAAGAGATTACGCGGGGCCCCCGCTCGATCCGTTTGATGATGACGGTAACGGCGAGGAACCACGGAACGCGTTCCGGTGCCGAAACGGATTACCGCCGAGAGCGGGGGGGTCGGGGCCGGCGACGGGGGCGGTGGACCCTGAGAAGAAAGTCGGACAAACGTCTGGGGCGGCGGCGGCGGCGGCGGCGGCGGCGGCGACGGGGCCGGGGCCGGGCGTAGAAGCAGGGGGAGGTAGAGCGGGGAGTGCAGGCCGTAGCGGGATGCGGCTGAAGGTGGGCATGGCCGCGGCTGCGGAAATGGAAGGGGCAGAGGAGGACTATGACGACTATGACGACGATGACGACGACATGAACCTGTACGGCATATTTACCGATGACGGCGACCTCGTGGAGTACGAGAGCCTGGTGGCGACGCTGAAAGAGAGGGGCAAGGGGCGGGAGGAGCTGGAGCGAATCGTGAGCGCGCTCCTGGACGAACAGGCGCTCCTGGACGAGCAGGAGGAAGAGGGGGGAGACGCGAATGGGGACGAGGGGGGGTGGTGGCCGGAAGAAGGCCGAGAACGAGGCGACGACAGTGTTGCTACGAAGAATCAGCACGGACAACATTATCCGTACGGCGGCGACGTCGAGAGGAGTGCCCGGATCCACCAGCATGCGCGGAGCAGAGCCGCACGAGACGATGCCCAGAACGGTGCAGCGAAGAGCCCCGCCAGGTCGCGACAGGAGGAGATCCTGAGGAGGCACGTGATAGGCCCCGGGCGCTTGATCATCGGCGGAGAGGAAGTCGATGTCGGGTACTCGAACGGCGGCGGCGGCGACGGCGACAACATTTTCGGCGGAAGAGGCACATACGCCGATGATTTCGACGAAGATGATGACGACCAAGGGGTGTACGAGGACGGCCTGTTCGTGGACGAATACGGCCGCGTCTTCGACGGCGAGGTGTTTGTGGACGACTTCGGCGAAGGTTTCGATGGCGAGCTGTACGTGGACGACTTCGGTGATGCCTTCGACGGGGTCTATGAGGGTGTTCTCTACGATGATGACGACGTCGAGGGGGACGGGGGAGGCGTCTATTTCTTCAGGAACGGTGACAAGCCGCTGGGCGATGATGGAGGCTTCGCGGATGACGATTATTTCCAAGAGCACTACTACGACGGTGGTGACAGGGGCTGCGATAGGAGCAGCGGCGATTGGCCACGCCCGTGGGCCGGTGTCGACTACGCCGAGACGGTGGAAGAGCAAGTGGTTTTCTTGGAGAGCTTGGGCGCGTTTGTGCAGCCTCCCGGGTGGGGGGGGCGGCTCGGCAGTGGACGGCTGGCGAGGCTTGCGGACGCTTCGGAGATGAGACGAAGGTGAGATAGAATGCTTGTAGTCTTTTCGCCCAAGAAACGAAAGTGATAAGTTTGTGAGCACTTGCACCGCCGCCTGCATCTTGTTGCGCCGTCCTGCCCAAATTAATTGTTTGAACACAGCCCCACCGTTGAGAAACACGTCGTGATCAAGGTGCGAACCTGTTGCGTTGCAGGACCACAAGAGGAAACATGCTTTTTTGGTACTGATATGTTCTTTGCCGCCCGTCGCCGCCTAGCGAAAAAGCACGCAGTCGCCTTGGGCAGATGAGCTCATGACTTTGAGAAAATTGACCCCTGGGCGTGGTTGGTACAGTATCGTACTTTGCTCTCGCGGCACGTGTTGCATTGCAACTCCCTGTCTTCTTTTACCAATGCTCGCCGTTACCCTTGCCCCCCTTTCCCCAGGCACCTGTTGCCGGAGATGTCGTACTTGGCGGTGCTGCCCATCCCGGTATACCACTTCCACCCGGAGTTCGATGTAGCCGTGGGCATGCTTCTCGAAAGGTGATGACAACGACATTTTCCCCGACCCGACGCTGGATGCCCAGCGTCCACACAGATGGGTAGTTTTCGAGGCGACATTTGATGTCCAGCGTTGGAAAGAGATGGGTAGCTCTCGAGCACAATGTTAGGCGGCGCTCTTTGCCACATTGAGTGCGTGAGCTCCGGTGCCGTTGCGTACGTTTGGCGGCAGCGTGCGGGTTAAATGCCGGACGCCGTTCCTTTGCCAGGAACAGTCAGGATGTTATGTTCATGCGCAGAGTTCGGACGAGGGAGGGAAAGCATGAATTGTTCAAGCGCACGCTCTCGGTGCAGCCGTACGCCCAAGGCAGGCGGTTGTGGGTGTTTGCCTCAGGCCATCAACTAAGAAACACGATGGCGCCCAGCATCTCCAGGCGCCCCTCCACACCGTAGATGACATGACACAAGATACCACGCCCCCTGGACCGATTTTCAAAGCTCGATTCCTCCACGACGAAGAGGATGCATCAATCGCATGACACGGTTTCGGAAAGCTCTCCTCTCTCTTGAAAAGACGGTCCCAACGCCGCCGTTTTCGGCACCGCCGTTCGTTTTGCTGTGGAGTCGTCGAGCTTTGAAAATTGGTCCAGGGAGTGCGATATATCTTATCTAGTCCACCTATGGTTCCCGCGGGCATATAGTTGGGGTGTACTCGATGTCCTCTGTTCGGGCTATTCACGGCCGCCGAGCATGATCTTGGCCCCCCCTCCCCAACTCGGTGAACGATTGGGAATCGGTGATCGGTCCTGTGGTAACAATGCTCCGTCATTTTCGAGGACGCGTGGTCAAAAGTAGTGACAGTGAGGTGCAACTTGTGCCACCCATGAACTTATCTGGGCCGTTTACAGCGAGCCCCTGCCGACTCTCGACCTCTTGACTGTGCTTTGCAAACTCGCAGGCACCCTTCGATCCACGTGGTGGTGGTGGTTGAGGAAACCACCGCGGAGGCGTTGAGGACGGAGGGGGAGTTCTACCAGCACGACCACCTGCAGTACGCCTCGCCCCCCCTGTGGACGGAGAAGCTGCGCTCTCGTCTTGCTGCTCGCGTGGGCGAGAACATCTGGTGAGGGTGGTCGTCACCGACCGGTATCTGTGTTGCCCACGGCATATATCAATCTATACGGTATATACCAGACCCCCCCTCCTCCCCCTGTCGTGAGGTTGAGGTTGTCGTTACCGTTTGTTGGTGTTGTTGCACGGGGCGTTATGAGCCTTGTGATGGGTGCATCTCGGAGGAAGCGATTCTATCGAGGCTATGGGTTTCTCCTTCTAGTTTAGTTTCTCTTGGTCTGTTGTTGGTGTGGTGTGTTTGGCAGCGTGTGGACGCTGCTTGCAGAGAAGAGAAAATGCCGTCCAACAAGCCCCCTTTCTGTTTGCCCCGGTAGGGCTTCTGTAGGAAGGTTAAAACTTATTTCTAAAAGTATTATTTGACGCAGGTACACAACCCATCGGGTATTGCTCTGGGCGGCATGTTGTGCGTGTCTGCACGCAGGTCGACGTTCGCCGCACGTGCGCCTCTCTGGCGCCAGAAGTCGTAGCGTACATACCATGGTTACATGAACTGTTTGTGCACGGAGCATCCTACTCCAAAGGCGCAATGCAGAGGTTCAGTACCGTACGAGGCGGAGAGAGAGAGATGGCACCCCCCCTAGACCGATTTCCAAAGCTCGATTCGATTGCTCGACAACCAAGATTGTCTGTACCGTACCGTGTACCGTACCGTGGTATTCCGTAAGAGTCGGAGAGATGGCACCCCCCTAGACCGATTTCCAAAGCTCGATTTGATTGCTCGACAACCACGATTTTCTGTACCGTACCGTATACCGTACCGTGGTATTCCGTAAGAGTCGGAGAGATGGCACCCCCCTAGACCGACTTTCAAAGCTCGATTGCTCCACAACCAAGATTGTCCGTACGTACCGTATACTGTACCGTGGTATTCCGTAAGAGGCGGAGAGATGCCACCCCCCCCTAGACCGATTTCCAAAGGTCGATTCGATTGCTCCACAACCAAGTGGGTGCGGAAAGAGCTCGATACATTTACGTAAAGCCCTCGCCAAGATGTTTCCAAACCCACCATTTTTGGTGTTGGCACATGCTTGCTTGTGGAGCAATCGAGCTGTGAAAATTGGTTCAAGGGGGGTGCCATATCTCCGCTTCTTACGGTAGGTTAGCCACTCTTTCTAGGAGCTTGGCTTTTTGAACTTACGCATGCTGATCAACCATGCATTCCTCAAACGTAGCATCAAAACGCCTCCACTCCGTCTGTCTGTTCCGGGGGCACCGTGGTATCGCATCACTGTCGGACAAAGGCGGGTGCACCTCCTCCCTCCGGTGGACTCGTGGGACTACTTCGCCATCCTCGGGGTGGCGGACGTGGTTCTGGACCCGTTTCCCGTTGGCAACCTTCACGCCGCCGTGGACGCCTTCGCCCTTGGAACTCCGGTGGTAACCCTGCCCTCTCGGCAGAGAGCGGGGGCTAGGTGGGTGCAGAAGGAACACCGATGCGCCACAACAAGGATGATTTGGAGGCGCTTCACGTTTGGCCAAATGGTTGTTGGTTGGTGCTACGGGTATGAGGAAAGCGCGTCGCCGTGTAGGTGTGGGGTGTAGATGGTGTCCAACATGTTGGGTGGAGGGGTTTGAGAACAAGGCCGGCGTGCCGTGGAACTACCAGCTATTATGGTGCGTGTTGAACCGACACCAGTGAATTTGGTTCACGTGGAATACGAGAGCAAGTCCTTCGGCTCGTTCGGCGGTGAAATGTGTCTCTCGATAATGTGGACGTTGGGGTGTGCAGGTGCGCCGAAGAGACTTTTTTTTGTTACTCTTGAGTGTCGAAAAGTATGTAATCTTTTTCCGGTGGTTCTACTCAAAACTGTAAAGAGTTACGTTGTTCTTTGCTCCTATCCAAAGGTGGGCTGCAGCGGCGATGCCTAAGTGGGGTAGCAAACCTTGTGACAATGGGGGTGAGAGGTCCGACTTACTGCAAAACAATGATGACATCGATAAAAGTACCCGGATGTAAGTTGGTTACTGTAACAGTACTTCGGGGGAGCAAGATGGACCCAGCGATTGGCGGCGGCGAGTCGAAACCAGCAATGCATGGTACGGGAACAAATGCATCCTTTCACGTATTATCATTGCGCCCTCGAACGGTACCCCGGCACCTTTGCAATGCCCCTCAGGTACGTGCAGGCGCTGGCGAGCGATCTCGGGCTGCCGGCTAGCTGTTGCGCGGCGGCGACGCTGAGCCACTACGTCGATCTCGCGGCAAGGCTCTGCTTAGACGAGGTGAGGCTTAAAGGGAGGACGCGGGGCTCTACACCAGTAGGCGACGCGTCGCAATCACTCACGCAGCAGCGCTGTGTCCGCCGCGGTGCGCTGCGGCGGCCGTCCGCGCTGCGTATGTCTTCTTCTTTCGACCTAGAATTCTGGCTAGAACAGCAGCACGCGCTACTTCTTCCATCGAAGGTGGCCGTAAAAGGCGAACTGTAATTGCTCTCCCCCCCCCCCCCTCCCACCCCCCCCCGGTGTTTACCATCGGGGTTGGGTTTTCGTCGCTTGGCAACGACGTTGTAAAACAAGCCCCCCGCTCGGTGTTTGCCATCGGGATTGGGTTTTCGTCGCTTGGCACCGACGTTGTAAAACAAGCCAATTCACTTCGTGAACTCGACAACCAGGTTACCGTTTTTTTTTTTTTACCTCGTTTTTTTTTTTGGCGGTAACCATAATGGTGGTCGAGTAGATCATGTTGTGCGGGGTCGAGAACCCTCCTTCCGCGCAACGGGGGATGATCGCACCACGTTGTGTTAAAATGGTCAAGCTTCCTCGAGGCAGTTACACAGTGCTTACAACTGTCTCTGGAAGTGAAAGCACCAGAAAATAAATTAAGTCATACGTAGCTGTCATCCGTACGCAAGGAAGTAAGCACAAGATGCCGAACACCCTTAGCAGGATGCAGCTCACCCTTCATGCGACTCGCCAAATACCTCACGGCGCTTCGCGCTTGGTGATGTGAGAGCCTGGTCCGGTGAGAACCCGGCGTGCTCCGTCCCGGCTTTGTAGGGATGCGAGGTCAATGGTCAAACGACTACGGCATGCACGACTATGAGTACACCCCCCCCCCCTCCCCATCTCTTATCGGTCCTCTGATGCAGGAATGGGCCGACGAGGTATCGGACATCCTCTACGCCGTCAGGGACTGGGTTTACCTCACCCCGGAGGCGCCACGGGAAAAACCGCACGACCGGAGGCCTCCACAACCCCAAGCGGATCGATTCTCCGTGGACGACCACAGCCAAAGCGCACGAGAAGGATGCGGCGGTGCAGACGGCGCTGACCCTCCTCGCGCTGTCCGGAGGGGCGGGCGGTACTCGGCCTGGGCTCGAGGGCGACGGCACGTCCAAGAGTGGGCCGGATTCTTGTGGAGAGTGAGCAGGCCGGGCGTTCCGGCAGAGTTTCCCGTGGACTTGCGGCAGGAGGGTGGGGCTACGCGTAGTCAATACTGTTCCGCAGGGAGGCGGCCAAACGCGTGCGGTTCCTGTGCGGCGAGGCGGAAGGCGGAGAAACGCGCTGCGGCGGCGGCGGGGGCGGCGGGGGCGGCGGCGGGATGACTTGCCCGTCGCACGGCAGAACGTGGTGGATAAGTTGGCGGCTGTTGTCGACTCCGATGGAGTGTGTGTATACGTAGACGTGAAATGTGTTGTGTTGTTGGTGATGGCCCCCAGCTAAATAGTAGGGGTTCGTGGCAGGGCGTGTAATGAAGCCCTTTGTTTGCCTTGTACTTTGGTACGGCGGGTTTTCGTAGTGTGTTTGTATAACATGTTCGGGTGTCTTGAGGGTCTTCCGAAGTCCGTCAAGAACAGGTGGGGGACAATCAAGGGTTGAGGGAAAAGTGGGTGTTTGCTTGGGACTCGCCACGAATGCTAAAGAATGAAAAGTGGAGCTCGAGACGACTTCGTCCGTGAACGGGAAATTGACCGTGTCTACCCGTAAGTGTGGCTCGGCGTCTGTTCGCAGTAGGACTCGAACGCAAGACGTAAGTATATCTTTGCTTTGTCTTTTCTCTCCCGGTTATGTTTTTTTTTTGCCAACAGTGGATAGCCTCCCGCCGAGTTCCATGGTATTTTATTCTGGGAGAGGGTTTGTGCGGAATTCCGCCTCGGTTCGTGCGGCGTCCTCTTTTTGGCGGAAGATTCCCGCTTGCAAGACGGGATTCTTTGCCGTTTTTGTGTCACTTCATACATTCTCAGACGTTGTGTAATCTTACTGTAGTTCTCCTGCTTCGCTGTGTTCCATGCTGTTATTCAGTAAAATAGATTGTTAGCGGGTGAGGTGTTGTACTGCCTTCGAACGAATGTCGGATTTTTGGCATCCAATCGTTGAGCAACGTAAAATCTGGTCGACCTCAGCTCGCCAGACGTGGACCGCAGCCGACCACGTCGGTTGATTGTGGTAGGGTAGCTTTCGATTTTTTTGTTTCAGAAACACAACAAATTGTCATCCCATGTATCTATTCTGGGCACCAGTCTCTACAAAATCGAAGGAAAACACGGCAGGGGGAGTAAGTAGGGGGCCTCAGGGAGAGGAACCCTTCTGTTGTGTGATCACGGATTGGAGCTACCCGACATTTAATAACAATGCTGTGAGCGCTGATATATCAAACGATCGATGGACAATAAAAATACAGCTTCCACCTTGGGTTCACAGCGGAAGCAAAACACGAGCCGGGGTCACACAAGAGGGGTTTTACTCAGCCCTCTGAGTTTTATCTAACCCGAACACATGCTTACTGCTGTTGTACTTTATTGTCCAACTATATCGTTCGTGTGGCCGGCAATATGAGTGGCATGATTCCCCTGTCAACCAGTACCTACGGAAGTCGACCGTAGACAATTCGAAAGAGGGTCTGTTGTCACAGTTTTAGACAGATCGGCGCTTTCTGTTAAGGCTATCAACGAAGATGATACCGTGTCGTGAATGGTGATGCCTGTAGTCCATAGTAAGGCTTAAGCAGGTGCTACACTTCTGACGAACCAGATGCTGGCTGCTATGCTGAGATGAGCAGCGATCCTTTCGGAGGTGTTGGATCTTTCAGCGATTTTTTTGGTGGGGCAGTAGTCACTGAGCAACAACGGCAAAACGATGGCGTGGGCCAAAGACCAGGCCGAGTCCGGCGGAATGGGACGGTGTGGCCCTCGTATTTTGTGATGTGCATACGGCTTAAGCACAGTATATACGTCCAAGACGTTCAAGATCGCGATCTTTTTTCTATCTCGTTCAGACTATGCGGACCTCTTCTCTGTTGGTGGCGGTTGCGATGTTGCGATTGGTGTGCGTCCTCATGCCTCTCTGGCAGAATTCCAGTGCCAGCGCTCTAATCGAAAGAGAACCAGGGAGCCAGTCGCGAAGGTCATGCTACCACTAAATGGGACTCTAGAGATCAAGGCGCTAAATGTACAACACGTGTTGCAAGCTGATGAGGGGGCCTTGTGACGTGCGGTGGAATAAGCCATCCACCAGGCTTATTCCGCCGCATGCTGAAACGTTTATTTTCGTTCCCGGAAAGTCTCGTTCCCCTGCACACATACATGCACACCCTTGCTGTCTCGGAAGTCGGCTCCGCCAGTACTACTGCGGTCCCGCGTAGCACAGGAGTGTCCCAGACCTACAATGCAACACACAAGACAAGACTAATTCTACACAGGTTGCCGAAACAGCGGAAACCATGAGCTGGGCTGCAGTGATGGTGAGCGTCAGCGTGTCTCTCGGTGGCCGTTTATCCGAGTTGTTTGATCCTCTGCAAGCACCCCAAACCTGTGTATCATCTCATATGTCCCGTGTGTGTACATTTGATCCCGCCATAATTTGCACAAAGGCATACACGATCCAGCAAGTACCTTTGGCCCTTCCCGTCCGGGAAGGTCTTTGCTACACATGAATGATTCGAACTTCATATCTATTGACTCGCCTTATTCGACGGACTACCGTACATCAAGTTTCCGTACGCCTGCCGGTTACACGCATCGACGCGTCGGACGTACGTCCAACTGCCCGCATGCATGCACCTCCCACCTGATGTTCATATATCCGAGCATGTACCCAAACCACGCAATCCTAATCCTTTAACCCGGTTGCCGTGTTCGAACACAAGATCATGATGCCGCGTGCAGTTGAGGTTGACATGGGCCTCTCACAACATAGATGAAGTATCCAAGTCTGGAGATACTATTGTATACAGTCTACTTGTACTTCAGTACCAGTACAAAGCGAGTAGTTCTTTAAAAACTACAACCTACAATCGCTTTACCTCCAAATTCGACAAACTTTCCTTTTTTCGGCGTTTCAGCGTTACCTTGCTCAGGCTATGCCTTCCCGATTCAATTTATTTGTGTTCAAGTGCGTTTGGCAGGAACCTCATCGTACCTATGTAGTCTATTGTTCATGGTTTGTAGCCTGTGGCCAAGGTGTCAACTTCTTCCCTTCCTCGAGTAGGAAGAAGAGGTTGCCGTACAGAGGTCCGAACATTTTCTATTGTCAAGACAACAATAATACATCAACGCATGGAATCTGTTGGACGACTTGCGGAAGTACCATAGATAAGGCGTACAGCCAACCTCAAAGCCTTGATACGAGAATACGATACGGAGTGTAACCCGCCCGCCAATTTATCGGCATGGGTAAGGCCGGGTACATCTACAATGATTGCCCTGTACGTATCGTCGGTAATTATCACGCCTGTTGAAGACCAAGGCTACTTGGCTCTGCTTGTTTGTTGCTTTGTTTCCAGCACGTTTGACGGCTACTACACGCCAAGGAATGTAAGCGTCATTTTGTACTTGGAAGCGTTCGCTACAGCGCATACCACAAAATGCAACCAGGAATGAAAAGACTAGACTGAATAGTCCATAATATGGAGCAAGCGTATCAAGATGGGATAGGTGACCTATACGGCACATCGAAACAGGTCGACCCAGGTGATGAACTGACGACATGCTTCTGCCTCCTTTTTCTCCTGATCCAAACGTCGTTCCATGGGGTATGGCACACTTTGCACGGACATCCACGACGACGACAACAACAACAAATAAAAGCTGTTTGGGAGCGGCCTCATTTTCTCGACCGGTCTGGTGTGGTTCTTCGTTCAGGCCTGGATCTTCGCGATCGAAGCGCAAACCGTATGGCTCATCATTCTCCTCACGGTCACGACCATGGTCGCGGTTGTGTCGCAGGGGTACCTGTGCGCGATTTTCGTCTCCATCCCACCGGTGAGTGAGTGCTTTCGAAGGCACAAACAGATAAGTGATTGCTGATTTTCTGTCCAAACCCCCACTACCATGATCGACGATTGAATAACTGGAACACGGTGGAAGCTGCTGGCAGAGAACCTGCGTGAGATTAGTTTGGAGTCCTAGACGTAGAACACGGAGGGGAATGCTGACACACTACGAACACCTTTTGGAACGTTGCGTGAAAAAACAAGCGCAAGGATTTTGAAAAAGCGAGTGCCGTCAGCGTTGGTGATCAACACCACGTAAGTTAATCACACGCACATAGAAATAAGTGAGTTGGCTCGGCGTTACAAGCAAACACATGCTCGCGCACTTTCCCTTTCGCACGACCAAACGCTACAGTCAGGTGAAGAGGACGACCTCGTAGTTATACTGATGAGCCTTCACGATTCTCAGGCAACTGGTCGCGTTGTTTCTTATGTGAGAGCGCTGCACCGTAGTGTTAAACCTGGCCTTTAGCTTTAGTCTCCATGCGCATGACGTTCTACCAAGTCGATGTACAGCAGGCTAACTCTTGTTTAGGGGTGGACATACATGTAAAGAAGGGGTACATTCTAAGATCCCTTTTGGACGGGATGTGCACAGTTTGCAGAAGATTTACAATGGTTTTGCGATATTCGTTTCACGATAAAGTTTGGGGTCTACCGCCAATAACCCTTTCCTGAATTTTTATCGTGCCAATGTGCGGCCGCTGGCATGCATCGGATTTTGGCGGAGATGCTGACTGTTCTTGAACCGTTGCGTGTAGACTGAAACACCCTCTATCCGACCCCGCCTCCGCCTAGTACAAACCTCTTGGAGTCCGTTCAACGCGACAATTAATTAACATGACACCCTAACTCCCCCCCTGTCGTTTTCGTGCTTAATCAGGATCCCAAGCCCAGAGGGGTGACGCAAATCAACAGAGAGGTACGTGAAGAAGTGCTGTAGGATGTCAGGCGAAGAGCATCAGAGGGCCTAACACTCCCTAGCGAGAACTCAGATTGTTTTCAGACATTACATACTCAGCGACATGCAATATACTAACCTTGCAATTTAGACTTATGACACTCCGTATTCTTCGCATGGGTTTTCCAAAAACCCTGGAGCTGCTAGGGTATCTATCGCCCGTATTGCACAACAAACACGAGCCCAAGTACACGGGGTCCCAGAACCGCGCTGTAGCTGGGTGTAGGACAGGTGACTCTGTGCACAATCAATCTTGGGCTGCACAGCTCTACGATGAAAAACACAGGGGTGGCTAAGTTTCGAGCCAAACAAGGCGCACATGGGTCCTAACCAGGGTTAGGATTTGCGAATGAGCCTCGTGCACTTTATAAGTAATCAGAATTGGACCCCTTTTTGATGTTTCTCCTTGAGCACTCTACTTCGCAGCAATAGCTAAACCACATGCAAAATGTTTTCGTCCAACGTGTGTCATTCTTGGTAAGAGGGTCCGCGCGGCCTCCGCACACCACCACCACCAACGGTGCAAATGGGAGGCAGAAGTGCCCAATGAACTACGGGACAAAACGAAGTGTTGGGCGACAAAGCAGGCTAATCCCTCATTTCCGTGAGCCAATCCGTTCATGCGACCTACCCCACTCTCCATCTGTTGCCACCGCCGCTGAACCCCCCTCCCTCCCCCGCTCGCAGGCTTTCGCTTCATTCCCCTTCGACGCCACCGCCAGCCTCGTCCGTCGGAAGGGGTCCGGCACAAGGCCACCGGTCGGCTGGGAGGTAAAGTCTTCCCAGCAGCTCGCCGCCTCGCTTCGCCACCCCGACCCTGGAGCCCCCGGCACCACCACACCCTTCGGCCGCGATGCCGCCGCCGATTGCCAAGCAGGTGCCCTAGTAGCGGGCCAAGCTCAGCGACGAAGCGGCGGCGGCGACATCGCAGGCTTTAGAAAGGTTGTACCGGCGGGGGCGGGAGCGGTGGGAAGTATGGAAACCCGGGAGTGCAAGGCGGCGGCGGGGGCGGTGCGTTCGCCGAAAAGTGGCGACACGCTGCACATGTTGGCGCCGCCGTCCGATATCGGCCTGGTGGGTCGCGGTGGCGCGCGGGGCGTGTTTGGAACGGCAAGGATTGCGTCGTCGGACGCCAGGGCTGCGGCGGCTGCGGCGGCGGAGGGACAATGCGTCGAAGACGTGGTGGAGTCCGGTCACGCAGGACCGGTTCTATTGTTGGGCCGGACGAAGACGAAGCCGCTGTCGCCAGGGCCCTCCCACTCCACCCGCGGACCCCACGCGCACGGCGAGAACGGGGAGAAACATCTCGAGGGGGGGGAGTTGGGTGAGTCGCTGGGAAAGCACGACCACTTCTCAGCATGCCACAGGCATCGCCACTGTCACCGCCGCCATTTCCACCAGCACCTCAGCCAGGAGATGAAGGTTTGCAGCAGCTGGACCGGGTCGGCACAAACAGACGCACCCAGCATCGGCTCCGACGACGACAACGACGACACGGCCGTGCGGCTCAGGTGCGGCAGCGGTGGGTCGAACTGCTGCAGCGAAACAGCCCATGTTGACAGCAAGGCTTGCGCCAAAGGCGCAGCCGCGCTGTTTGTGACGGAGCAGCAATTGGCGACGAAGGCGGAGGCCGAGGTACTGCCGTTTTCGCCTTTGGCGGAGCGGCAGAATTCGGCGGCGGTTGTCTCTGCCGTCGTTTCCGGCGCCGACGGAAGCGCCAGGGCGAACGACGAAACCGTGGTGCGCGTGAGCGAGCTGCCGGACGTGTGCGCGATCTGCTTGGGGCAGTACGCCACAGGGGAGGAGGTTCACGTGCTGCCCTGCCTGCACATATTTCACGCCGAGGTGATTGCTTGGCTCTCTCTGCCGGCAAGAGGAATCTTGCGTGACGTTCAGATCGCAGCAGAACATATCTACTGCTGTTGCAGAGACAGTTGCAGCTATAGGCTTCAACCGCTTTGTGGTCTCTGCAACTCACGGGAGTCGTGACCTTAGCTCGCTTTCATTAAACTTGTTGTTGGTCAATCGTCTGTACGACCCTATAACCGTTCTTCTGGTGACGACGCCACTAATGCACCAAATCTCGCTGCGCCCCCCCCCCCCCCATCAATGGACCGATCGAATCATCAGTGCCTGGACGTCTGGATCCGCGGTCACCCGTCCTGCCCTTACTGCAAGGGTGACCTGAACGTTATCCCGCAAGAAAACAATTCGTCACACGAGACGACGGCAATATGTTATGCCTGCAGCGTGCTGTCTCGGATGGTGTCGTTCGTCGCCGGGCCCTTCGTTCGGTTTTTCCGCGGACTCTGGGAGCGGCGGCGGCAGCAGCGAGAGCAGACGGCCGAGGGTGGCGGGGACAGGGAGGCGGGAGAGGGGAACGAAGCTGCCGAAGGGGTTGTTAGGTTTGCTCCACCAGCGTTGGACTCTCCGGCAGCGACACCCGTGCCGCCATCTGTGGTGGCAGCGTGAGATACTCGGCACACCTGTGTAAACGGGGCGCCTTTTCTGTTTGCTCGTTCAAAGATTTCGCGATCGTTGTGATTTTTCATGTGTCCGTTTTTGTTCCAGGCGTGTGTGTGGTGTTTACATGCGTAGAGGACGCGTGAAGAACCCCCTGATGAAGACTCGCGTTGTGGTTGAACCTCTTTCAACAGCATTGCTTGCTGTTGCCTAGCTCTCTTTGGTAGACTGGACAACCGGGGAAGCGACTACAACCAGGGAGCGGTCGGTAGCTTAACTCATCCCCTGCCTAATCAATCCCAGCGGGTTGCAGCTCCCGCCATATCCCATACCTGCTATTTCGTTTCCAAGAACAAACGTTGAGGTTCTTGTACTCAAATTCCATGGCTAATCTGCAGCCCACCCTTGGAGTTGAACACATGCAGTTACATGGAAAACCCATCATTCGAAGCATGGATCGAAGATAGATGTGCAAAACGTCGTAGTAGCGTGACAGTTCGCCCTCGCATAAGTTTAAAATAGATGAACAGAAGGCCATCGTCGTAAACTGAGTGCGCACTACAAGTCGCGTACATGGTCAGGATACAATCCAGTCGTCGGCCCGACAGAAGACGAAGAACCTCGTAGAGAACAATGTGGCGCAAGATGCTGCACTGAACCGATCGTGCCACATTGGCGGAACAAGAACCTCACACCAGCACACCAAGGGCAAACTGAAAAACAAAACCGCCTCGATTAATATATCTGATAGTGGAAAACCGATGGTGGTGACATGTACGATGGTCTACGGTATATACTTACGACGGCAGATGCCCCAACATGCAAAGTAGACAAAGAACGGGAATTAGTGTCACGTACAAAGGAACACAGGGATCGACGGAAACTAATTATTCACATATTTCCTCGCAATTTCAAGTACCATGGATACGCTGGGAGCCAAACCACGCTCAGACTCAGGCACCGAAGAAATCGAAGACGGAAAGACAGAAAGTAATCCGCAAAGAAGGGTAGGTACTGCAGAGGAGGCCGCAAACATGACTTCGCCGGTCCCCAAAATAGGACACATGGCTCAAGTAACGCTGCATGGCCTCCGGGCCTGTGGCTCCTCCGTCCAAGCTCCGTGGCGCTTGCTGAAGATACGTATGCAGAACTGGAGAAGACAAGGTTGGAAGAGTGGGTTTGTCGGGTAGGTGTGAGCGGGCCCGATAGTTCTCTTGGGTAAAGGGCATTCGTTCGCAACCACGAATAAGATCGATCGGTGTTCGTTCTTAAACTTTTCGATCATCGCACAACAAACGAGAATGAATGCAACACATCAGTGTGCGGACCGAACCGTGTGATTACAATTGGTAGCGTGGTGTGTACTACAGCAGGAAGCTTAGGCGCAGGTAAAGGGCAGAGTGGCAACACGCGAAAAATTTTTTAAGGCTGAGGGTGATATTCTCGCGTTTCGTAAACGATCGTACCACGCTTTGTAGAAGACAACGCAATGAATGTCCAAAACACAGGGTATAGCCTAGAGCCTACAGACCATCACGGAACAGAGGGCACAAAGACGATGATCGTGGGAAGCGACGTTCACGAGGGATGACACTACGACTTGCCTGGGGAGAGGTGGAACAGAGACCACGACACGCCTGGCGCCCCGAGAAAGACGGCTTCCGAGGAAGAATGTGCTCCAAGGAACAGAGCCAGACATTCACCACTCACTCACATCCGAATCCAGCGCGGATGGGACCGAGGCTCTTCTTTTTGAGAAGAGGTGCGTCGCTCAGAACCGCAGGATTCATTCCTATCGGTATGCCTGCTAGCCGACACACAACAAACTGCACAAGAGAGCTCTGGCAGCCCCAGTCGGGCTTTCCTACAGGAGGAGTTCGGGGGCTGCCAGCTCTCTGCTCTGTTTCATGTGAGTAGACGGGATAGATCATGTTTGCGGGAGGATACAGAGTCCTGTGCGCTTAGGCAGGGACTGTAAACTTCGTCCAATCACAGCGCTTCAATTGTTATTCTTGATGTGTCGAAACGTCGAAACACGGGAAACCAGCCAGTTTTCATCTCCACGTCTCAACTCTCCACTCACTAAAAGACTTTAGCACATCCCTTTATAACTGTGATTGTATCACGAACGAGTACTCTTTCTATGAGTTTTATGCATATATGCATATATGCATATGTATATTTTCTAGAAAAAATATGATGCTTCTCGGCACGACGAGACGGAGAGCCGTAACAGCAGTCGGGTAAATTACACCCCGGGCATCGGGCAAATGTAAGAATAAAAAAAAAAAGGTCCAGTCATGCGGTCCGATGCCGTTGTTCTCGATGCCGATATTCGCCGAAACACAAACGCTCGTCCATTTCACTCTGTCTCGACCACCCCACCACAACAAACAACCACCGCACCACCGCACCCGCTTCACCTCTGCTGCGCATCTGCCGCGCCGCTTATTTTTAACAATTAGCTTCTTGAAGAGGTTCCTGCTCCCGTCCGCTTCGACGAAGATGCCGGACAAGTACCCTGCCCCTGACTCCTTCGAGGTGGCGAAGACGGACGCTGAGTGGGCGGCCGAGCTCACGCCCGCGGAGTACAACGTGATCCGCAACAAGGTGCGCTGCTGAAGAGGGCCGTATGCACCGTTCACGTGAATCAGCAGAGAGAACTTGTTTGAATCAGACTTCTTGCGTACAGGGACCAGCTGACAGAGACAGAGTTGCAGCGAGCGGCGCAATACGGAGCGATACGTCGCGTATCCTCCTCACCCACGTATGAAGCAGGATGTACGGTGCGTATGAGGCAGGATCGTGTACGGTACCAGCAGCGTGTGATGACCATCCCTGTCCCCTAACAAGCATTGAATCGTGTCGCAGGACATGTATTCAACACAGCTGTACACCACGCCCCTTCAAGAAAACATGTAAAAACGTCAGTTAGTTGAAGTTGACGTCAATGGTCTGAATGAGCAGCTTGCGCGTGCTGCTGTGCTGTGTTTCGTCGACTGCTGTTTTTGTGCCAGTCTACACACACCCATGGGGTAGACTATATATTTGACGCCAGTCGGGGTCGCACACCCACAGCCTGCTGTTAGTGGGTGTTCGGGGTTACCCACGTATGTAGAAACCGTCGGGAACACCGTCTGCCTCCACGTTGATTCGCCTCTACACCAGTATATTCTGCCGCTGTTGCTTGTACATACGTCGCGTAAGATACCACACCCCTCGGACCAAGCTGCATGTACAATGGGGGGCCCTCTATGGTGTCGGGGTTTGTCCCGAGATTACTATACCGAACACCGGCGCTTTTCAGAGTACAGAACGACTTGGTTGGGGGTAGGGTTAGGGTTAGGGTTAGGGTTAGGGATAGGGTGTGCGTTAGGGATAGGGTGTGCGAGCCGAAAACACGGGCACTATACCGGGCACGGACACTATTCAACCGGCACTGTAGAGGGCCCCCCATGGTAGGGATGTAGTGCCCCGTGTTAATTCCCATCGCTGTGCTTGTCACGACGTACGCGCTACGTTGCAGGGCACGGAGAGAGCGACCACCGGCGAGTACGACAAGTTCTACCCCGAGAAGCATGAAGGGTTCTTCGTCTGCAAGGCTTGCAAGAACCCGCTTTACTCCGCCGAGTCCAAGTTTAAGAGGTAAGCGGGGATTGCTGCTTTTACCTGTCCTCGCAGATGCCGCTACTGCTGCTGTAGACTAGGTTTGCCTACTGCTGTAGTATGGACTGGTGTGTGTGTACAAAATGAATGTCGCAACTTTTATCCGTCTATGGCGTGCAGAGACCCCTCGAATGGCCATTGAACACGTGCGTTTGCGGCACAAATTTACCTGTTAACACGGCTACCTTACAACATGTTGTGATAATTATAGTGCTACGTTGAGAGGTGCCAGTGTACCGGCTCCTCTTCAACCATGGTACACTCCAACATATCATGTGATAATCAACTCCTCCTGACCCTCTGCCTTCTGCCCTCCGTTCCCCCCCCCCCGCGCAATTTCCCGTTTTGACAGTGGATGCGGCTGGCCGGCTTTCGACAAGTGTTTCAAAGGGTGAGGGGTCGTGGGGGGAATACATAGACAGTGTGGCTTGAGTGCCGTCTACGTATAGGGCCGATGAAATGGCTACACCGTTAAAGTAGGAAGTGCTTCTCGCCTTTCTCTCGTCAACAACCACAAGAACCTTTTTTCCCACACGGGGGCGCGCTTTTGTTGGCGGTGTTGGTTTTGGAAGCACTGCTGTTGCATCGTTCCGTTACAGCTCAACGCGCTCACTAGGAGTGTGGTGTATCAACGAGAGCTCTCTCTGCCACGGCACGAGATCACTCCACTCCCACGCCCACTCGCTCTTGCTGTCCCTGCAACGCTATCTCAACGCCGTGTGGCTTGTCCGTTCGTGTGTTCGTCCAACTGGTTTCATCTGGCTCTTCCCCTCTAGGGCCGTGGTAACTAACACCGACAACGCTTATGGGATGCAGCGGGTGGAAATCGTTTGCGCAAAGTGCGGGGGGCACCTTGGGCACGTGGTGAGTTTTTTTCCTCCTTCCTTAGTCTTGTGTTTCTTCTTCCCCTTCCTTTTTTTTTCGGTTGGTTTCTTCGGCACAGCAGTAAAAGGTTAGTTTCCCCCGGTGTCCTTTGGTCATCGCCCTCGTGACACCTTTTCCTTCCGCAAGCATGTGTACCGTATTGTTTCTGGCACGATGCGAATGGCTGTGCCTTGTCGATTTGTTGTCAGAGTGCGCGCGTTTCCACGACAAGTTGCCGCACGAGCGACGATTGAATCTTCCAGTCAACCAGAGATACTGTAGCTGCGCATCGCTCGCTAAACTGCTATTCGTATAACTCGGCGTGCCCACCCAGCAGTCCCTAGAATATTTGCAAGTGCAAACATGCTGCTATCGTTCCCGCGCCAGACAAATGAACGGTTCTCGTGTGCGCTTGCATCACACAAGTGTGGCTCGACAACCACACGATCCCATTCACCCCCCAACGACAACGGCGTGGTAAGCCAGGTGCGCCTGTCTTTACGTCGCAGTCACGACCCCCCCCCCCCCCCCCCCCAACCCGACGCCCCGGGACTTTTTTTTTTGTTTTTGGGGCCTTTATGGGGGTTGGGGGGGAGGGGGGGAAGGCCACCCAAGGGGGGAACCGGGTTTAAAGCGCCCGCGCCCAGTTTTTAAAGGGGCCCCCCCCCAAAGGCCCCCGGGGGGAAAAAGTTTTTTTTTCAAAAAAAAAAAAGGGGGGTTTTTTTGGGGAAAAAAACCGGGGGGGCCCTTAAAAAAAAACCGAGTTTGATTAAAAAAATTTTTGGGGTTTGGGGGCCCCCCCCTTTGGAAAAATGGGCGGGTCCGGGGGGAAGGGGGAAACCCATTCGGAACCCCGG